GAAATTTGGAATTTTGGAATTTTGGAAATTTGGAATTTTGGAATTGTTAGGCCCCAAAAATTTGGAATTTTGGAAATTTGGAATTTTGGAATTGTTAGGCCCCAAAAATTTGGAAATTTGGAGTTTTGGAATTTTGGAAATTGGAATTGTTAGGCCCCCAAAATTTAGAATTTTGGAGTTTTGGAATTTTGGAAATTGGAATTGTTAGGCCCCCAAAATTTAGAATTTTGGAGTTTTGGAATTTTTAACCTCAGAAAAAGTGGGATTTTGGAATTTTGGGCTTGTCAATTATAGAGTTTCAAGTCCCACCCCCTCCATGACAAGCACGATCCGCGCGTGTCATGGAGGGGGGGTGAGCATATATATATATGTGTGTATATATGTGTATTTATGTGTATATATATACACATGTGCATATGTACATGTGTCTGTCTGTCTGTCCGTCTGTCTGCATGCATGCATGCATGCATGCATGCATGCATGCATGCATGCATGCATGCATGCATGTATGTGATGTATGTATGTGTGTGTATATATATATATATGTGTATATATATGTATGTATGTATGTATGTATGTATGTATGTATGTCTGGGAACTGGGATACGAGGAGGACAAAAGACAGACAACATGGCGACCTCTGAGCAGGGACAGGTTTGAACTGCAAAAGAGAGCTGGAGGAAACCAAGGGGAATCCAAAGGACACAGCTATGCAACTGTTCAGCAGGAGGGGCGGGGAGGGCAGTGAGGTGGGTGTGGGTTCAAGAGCGCGGCTCGAGAGCCCGCTCGCCGAAAGCGGGAGCGGCACTGCCAGTCAATGCTGCCGTAAACGGTACGGCATGAAAACGACCTTCGGATCTGGGAAAGACCTGGCCAGTTGGGCTAAAGGCAGCTTCAGGGTTTCATGTAGAGCCAATCCTGGTCATCGTGATCTTCCTGTGCGTTTGAAGTTTCTGTGTTTTTGGGCATGCTTGGTGCTGGCCATTGTTGGCCGATGTTTAGCTGCAGCCGCTCAAGCGTAGTGGCATGGATGTACAGGACTATCCCATGCTCCCCGATTCTTTTGCTAAACACTGCCGGGGGTCATGACATGTCATGATCGCACAAACTAGAATTGTTTTCTCGACGATGAGATGGGAAGCCAGGTGCCAGCGCAAGCACAGAAACCGTAGACGTAAAGTCTTGTTGTGGCATGTTGTGGCCGTTGAGCTGAACTAATTAGCCTTCCTTACGCCAGGTCTTAAGCCACCTAGCCCTCACCCAAGAAGTCCATGCACGTTGAGACTGATATTTGCAGCAGAACCGATCTTCGTGACTTTTATCCTCGCCATGCGGCCATGTGGAACTTCAAGCTTCGCAAAGGCACGGGTATTGAATTTGGCAGAGTATCTACTGTGCCGCCGGTTCATTGAAAGGTTCTCGCCGTGCTCGTGGCGATATTGGCAGTGCGGCAAGCGTCGGTGAAGCAGATGCACTTGTGGAATCTTGTGGATGTGTTTTTGGCGCAGGCAGCTGCCGGGCCTCACCGCCTGGGTCTGTTGCCGAAGGTACAGTTGACATCAGTTGACAGTGTGCTACACGTGGCAGATTTTTCCGACCCCGAGATAGACTCTGATTGTGTCGTAGCTCCGGGTTATGTCGCCATGCCGTTGGAGAGTCGCGAAGGCCTGGCACGTGCTCAAAATCTCGCGGTGAGAGAGCGAGCAGGGTGAGGCCAGCAGCTTCTTGGGGCACGACAGTGGTCTTGCGCTTGGTGTGTTGCAATGCCTTCGACAGGTGTGGTGCAGAGGAGTCGAACTCCTGGCTGCCTCAGTTTGAGAATCCCTTGGCAGGCCTATGCATCCGTCCGATCTTGTGAGTCATGTGTTGCGACTGGTTGAATTGTTGGTGCAGCAGAAGGGCGAAGCGGGCTTAGATGCCTGCAGATTGGATGGGGTCTTCCGGCACAGATGCATCAGCTGGAGTGACGTCGCGCACCACGAGGAGGACCCGAAGAGTTCCAACATGCAAGTGTCATCGTTTGACAGGCTCCATGGCAGATCCTGGCTACTGGAAACAGCAGACCTGCATGTTTCACTCTACCTGTGCGTTCTGAGCGTCTTATGACATACGGTCGATTTGAGACTCGTTTGTGCATGATGATTTGTCCGAAAGACGTTATTGGCAAACATCGACTTGACTTGCCAGAGGCAGCTTTCTCTGAGTTTCAGACATGAAACGAGAGCCAGCAAGAGACAACTCTCATGCTCAAGCCCAAGACTGCAAAGACTCTGATCTGACTCGTTCTCCAGTCCTAACCAGAATGAATCAAAGAGGCGACAAGCCATCGCATGCTAACCTGCAGAGTTACCCCACCACTCGGACTTCTTGGCCATGTGCTTATGCGGCAGATGTCTTCTGACGCTGATACTTGCAAGTGGCAGCGTGGCAGGCCATCTGTTTATCCCTTGCCATGCTGAGAAAGCAAGAACAGGAACTCCGAGGAGGCCATCGACGTTCCTTGCAGCCGAACATGGCGTGCTCAGGCGTCCCGAGCACGTTCATGCCTTTTCGGCCATTCCGGTTGCTGACGGTGGACGACGCGATGAGGACGGAATTGTATTGACTGTCTTGCAAGTGGCATGTACGTTGTTGCAGGATCATGGAAGAGACGGGGCTGCACGTAAAGCCTCAGTGCAATCGGGCTCAGCCTTGGTTTTCTCACTTCGCGTGACTCGTGTGGTTTCACGGATGCCAAGAGCTCAATGCAAGGTCTACCCAATGGTTCCTGCAAAAATCGAGCCGGTGCTGGCGAAACCCTCTACAAGCTGCCTGCAAGCCAGAATCGTCAGCTCGGGCTAGACTCCATGCAATGCAAACAGATAGCTGCTGCAGCCAAAATCAGCTGAACTGCAACACCAGTGCGCAACGAACCGGCAAAGTGGAATCCTGTGGCTAGCCGATATGTCAATCCGACGAAAGACCGCAGCCATGACTAAAGACCAACGAACAGTAGCTAACTCAACCAACTGGCTTTGTTCCAGGGGCGACAGCTCCAAAATGACGGGCAACCACCTAGCATTAGGAAAGCAAAGCGCAGCCGAAGGTGTGTAAGAGCTATGGCAGCACCTGAAAACACATTCACTCGGGCTGTGCTGAATAAGACTGTCCGTTTTGATTGCAGGGTCGAATTCAGCAGCAGCATTTCGCACAAGGACGGCAACTTGAATGTCCGTCATCTGTCCCAGGGCAAGGACTCAGTGGACTGATACCTTCGGCGATTCCGCTCCCTCACACTAATCACTCGTACATTTCTGCTGACCCTGGCAGATGGGCCAGAAATCACGTCATGCACTTGATGCAGGACATGGCAACTCGCCTAGCTGCAGCTGTCAATGCAGCAGTGTGGAACATCCACCGGCAGCTGACATCCACAGGTGAGTATACCCAGGCTCACGTCACGAAACGATGCTGTGCAGTATTGTTTCGTGTGGCCCGCTTCGTCTATGTTTATATAAGTTATAGATGTTTATGCAATGTACTTTGATTCTGAAAGCCTGGATTTCAGTTGGAGCCACAGATGTTGTGAGGACCGCTAGGGCAGAGCCTGGGCAGGCAAAAGCTCCTCTGCAAGAGCCGCCTGGCGCACCCATCGCAACAGGCCATGCATGAACGAAGCCGCACCGTGCCGCTCTGGGCCTTTACCAGGAGAGGCGCTCTCTCCTCAAACATTGGAGGCCGTCGAATGGGGATTCGCCCTTCGGCCTTGGAGATGCCGCCAGTACGCACCGGCTCTGTCACACTCTGAGGCCAAGATCCCTTCCGTTTTCAAGCTCGCCGTGGTGGGAGGGCAGAAGCCTTACGAAAAGCTGGCGCAGCTGTGCCCTCCGTGAGCTGCGCTCATCACGATTGCAGTGATGAGGTGCTGCGGTGGCAAAACCAAGTCCCGCAAGCACATCGGTGCAGCCCTGCGGGAGAACGATCGTCGAGTTGAGGTTTTCGCAACCCCGGAGATTGCAACGGTATTGTTCCACCAGGCTTGGTCTTGCATGCCCGCTCGCATGCTGGTCGGTCTTATGCATTGCTCTCGTCGCAGGGAGCCATGAGCAACGGTTCCTTTGCTGACTTTGTGGCTCAGGACGGTACGCCACATGTGCTCACGGCTATGCCAGTGCATTGAGTGGTGTATCAGCTTCTTGTTCATATCGCCTCACCGGGATCGACAGAACACAGCTTGAGCGTAAGTTTCACCCCTCGAGTTACTGAAAAGACCTTATCTAATTGCCAATCCTCCTGCAGGAGTACAAGGAGTTCATGGTACAGTCTGAGATTCTCCAGTTCGTTTTCGAAGGTCGGGGGATGCGTGCATGCGAACTTCTAGAAACGTGCTGGATCTGTTGCTAGGCATTTGGGCGCAGGGCGCAGCATTGTCCTTACCTTCCTCCAGCTATGCCGCCACTTGGCGACAGTGTGCAGCGTCCGTGGGTCCGCGACGAGAAGGGACAACTCCATAAGCTCGGGGTCTATGAAGACGTTGAAAACCTGACCTGACCTTGTTCCTGGCAAAAAGCAGTTTTGGATGTCGGCTTTTCGGGATTTACAGCATCCGCAGCATTCTGGCTTGCTGGGTTTCTTTTCCGACTCGGGCCAGAAAGGTTGAGCTATTGGCTGGATTACATGTAGTACACATTTAGTTTAGAGTCATTTAGATTGTTTGAGGATCCCAAGATCGCGGCGGATATCATGGCAGGTGCATGCACGGGCTGCGGGTGTACTGGCGGAGGTGGGTGTATCCGGGTGTGTGCGCACATACGGGTGGCCACATGCTGTGTCAGCATTGTGCTGGTACCCACGTTTGTGTTGTTGTATGATGCTTCTGCAAGCGAGAGAACACAGAATCCTGGACCACAGTCAGTCACGTGTCCTGTTCTGTACCAGCGTGGTGTCTTCTAGGTGACTGTAGTTGTGGCCGGTTCATGTTGGGTGGAGGAATCTGTGTGACCAAGAAGCGAGCGAAATCCCGCTGCTCGAATGTTTGCAAGTATTGTTCCTTCCCTCAATCTTAGGTACTCATGACTGACCGAGATGCCCTGGATGGTCGCAGCTACTCCAGGCTGTATAGCTGGGATGATGGCCCTTTGCCGACAGGCAAAGATAGGCTCAAGAACTCCAAGAATGGCTGTGATTGGGAGAACACAAGATAGCTGATGTTTTCTCCTAGCTCTTGCCTGCAGGCCCTTGGCCTCTTGGGCACCGATTGGATGGTCCACGACGCCTGTCAGAAGTCCAGCTGACTTATGATCTGACCATGCCAGCTAGATCTCTAGATCGCTGCTTCTGCCCTGCTGTCGAAGGCTGCTGGACGAAACCGGGAAGCGCATCAGCATACCGGATCTTACTGAGTCTGACCTAGAGCAGCGTTACGAGATCGGAGCAGTTTTCTGGCATTCGCTTGCAAATACCAACGGCAAGTTGAACGCGCTTGGCTATGAACGTGACTCTTCTCAACGCTTTTCAGTGAGTGCCCTTGAGTAATCCCGTCAACTTTTCTGTGAGGTGAATGCCAGAAGCCAACTCGGCACGAGTCTGCTCAAGAAGCTTTCGACAACGATGTAAATGCGTCCAAGGCACCTTTAGACCTTGCTCCTCTGCTCTTGGTGCAGCTTTGTTCGTACGCAAGAGTTCTCACAAAAAGCAGCGCTTAAACATACAAGCATCCGGGATGAAAGTATGGAGACGCAAAGCATCCGACAAAGCAGAAGCCTGTGCAGGTTTACGAAGATGGCTATCCCACAGACCGCATCATTTGGCATGGAGCTTGGCCTTCCCATTGCTGGCTTGAATATATTCATCACAGGGTGATTGTCAAGGTACATGCAAGTGTGGCATGTTCGGGTGACAGTTGCACTCGCCACTCTCTCGACAGACTTGCAGAGCAAGGTTGTCAAGCATGCATTATGGAGCACTTGCGCCGAAGCTTCGAAAGCCGCAGGGCCTTGCCATGCCACAGTTCTTGTGTTGCGATGCATTGGCATGGTTGAGAGCAATCAGTAGTATAGTTGTGACCACATCTGGTGATCCGACACTTCAGGATTGTCGACTTTGTGCAGGGCAGGCTCTCTGCAAAAGACCCAACCTTCTTTCCTGCAAGCCAGGCCGGAGTTTTGCAGGATGTCACTAAGTGCGTTTGCGAAGAGCCATGAACATGATTGGCTTCAAGCAAACATTCGATTTCATGAGCGTTGTCCGGGTCGCTGGCCTCGCAGGGGGCCATCATCCTCGGTCTACAGTATTTTCTGCTTCTGGTACGATGCAAGGAACCAATCCAACAACCAAACGAGACTGGAATTGAAGGGACGCTCATTGCGTCTGTTGTGCATATTACATAGGCTTATGGCTTATGTGCTAGCTCACGATGCTTCGAGTCTGGGGATGTGAACATGCGCAAGTCCGATCGTGAAGCCATGTTGCACTGTGCTTGCACGCGGATCTTTCTTGCTCTGATGCTTGACAAGCTTGGCTCGGGTCAAGCGGTGCCCCAACTGCTTCGCCAAACAGAAGACAGACAGTTAGAGAGGGTTGCAGTCCCTGCTATACGCCCTGACACATGCAGCCAGGGGACACATGCACAGGTCCGATGCTTCACACAGACATGCGCACGAAGCCTGTTGTCAGTGTGAGAGCAGTCTTCCTCTGTTGTAGTTCTGCCACTGAGTGCGTGTTAGCGGAGGTAGCGCAGGATCATGGTGACTTCGGTGCTTTTGTGTGTTTTTCGACTGCATTCCGGTAGACGGGGTCTTTGCTGAAACGGTGGGAAATGCAAATCCATACCAACCCTTTGCTGCTTGAGGCCACTCATGCACTAAGCTGCGTAAATAAAAACCAGTGGGTGTGGGCAGTGGCTGTGCTGAGGGAGGGGGCTTGGGGGCGGCCTTTTGGGTACAGGTTGCTTACGCACATGGGTGGTTGTGGGCTTGACGGCTTTTGGGGCACAGGTTGCTTGCCCCGTTCTGAAATACAAATTCTACCACTGTCGGGAATGATGAGATGTTTACAGCAGAGGTTTCACACAGTGACGA